ATCCACCTGCCAATGCAGGGGGACACGGGTTCGAGCCCTGGTCCGGGAAGATCCCACATGCTGCAGAGCAACTAAGCCCGTGCGCCACAACTACTGAGCCCGCACTCTAGAGCCCGCAAGCCACAACTACTGAGCCCGCGCACCTAGAGCCCGTGCTCTGCAACCAGAGAAGCCACCGCAGTGAGAAGCCAGCGCAATGCAACCAAGAGTAGCCCCCGCTCGCCGCAACTAGAGAAAGCCCACGCGCAGCAACAAAGATCCAACACGGCCAAAAATAAATAAATATTAAAAAAAAAAAAAAAGTGAAAGGGAGTGACAAGGTCATCCCTTTAAAAAAACAGAAAACAAAAAACGAAAAACACAAAGGGCTCAGCCAAGACTCAGAGCTTTTGTGCAGTGTTCAGCCTGGGCCTGGGTCTCAGAGTCTGTGCAACTCCCAAACCACCAAAGCGAGGCCCTTTCTTGAGGAAAGGTCTTTTTGAGTTAAGGTCGCTTCCCTCTGGACCTGGACTCAGCCCTTCCACGTCCGCTTCTCATGCTCCGCGCTCAGCCTCCCCCAGGCGCAGCGCCCCGGACTCACGTGCAGGCTGGGATGGTAGGTGAGCAGCCCGTTGTCACACAGCGTCACATACTTCTTCTTCCACTCCTTGTTCAGGGACTTGCCGCTGCGCTTGAGCAGGATGCCCTGAGGACAGAGGCTGGATCAGAGACAGAAGCCAGGCCCACACGTCACAGCTATGGAGAAGGTCTCAGTGTCCACGGGTCACAGCATCCTCCGCCCCCCGCCCGCCCGGGTCACTGTGCTTATCTGCATGGAGAGGCCACACGGGACTAAAACTGAACCAGGGAGAGCCAGGCGGATGAACCCATCTATGGAACTCGGCTGCCCCTGGCCGTCCTCAGGAAGCCGTCTGGAGCCCACCTCTCCAGTTAACATGGACGCCGTCCCATGGCAGGGGGGTGTCCTCTCCCCCAGGTCGTGGAACTACGTCAGCAACGGGAGGCGGGGGTTTAGATGGCCTCTCAGCAGTGATGCTCCCACCCACCGTCTCCAGGGATGGGGTGGAACGACAGCACAGAGACCTCAGGAGGGCCTGGGCCTCCTACCCGCTGTAGCAGCCCCAAATAGAGCAGAAAAGCCCCTAACTGTCCCCAGAATGGCCCAGTCTCCCCCAAGGCAGGCAGTGGGAAGACCCAGCCATACAGCCCAGCAACCAAATCTCCCGTGTGAGCTGATAAGACACTGGGCGTGGAGGTTAGATGGGCACCAGGATGAACAAGAGCTCTCCAGGGGCAGGGATTTGGGCGTGTTGTTCCTCGACACCTTCAGCACTGCGACACTCCTGGGATGCAGCAGACGCTTGGGGAACAGCTGGTGGACCGGGCGGGGGAAGAGCCAGCCGAGACGGTGCGGCTGGTCGGAGGTGCTGCGAGTGGGGGGTAGACCTCACCGAGGCAGACGAGGCGTCCACCCACACCCCAGACGGCCTCTGCTGCCCTCCCCTGATGACAACCCCCGACGGTCCCTCACCCACTGGCTCTCGCCTGGAAACAGCAGACAGCACGGGAGAACGGCCAAGGATGGAGCTCGGGTCGGGATGGGACACGGACACGCATAGGCGGCAGGTGCCCCAGGACCGGCATCACCCCTGTGGGGCCCCCTCCGCAAATTCGGGAGAGCTGAGAAGAGGCAGTGCTCCCTGGACATTCCTAGACAGAACTCCTGGGGGGCAGCCCCCCTCACAGCGGGCCTGCCCCGGCTGGGCGAGAGTGGGCAGCACGCCAAGTCCCAGCAGGTCGCAGAGGAGCTGCCAGAGCCCCAGTGCCGACCTCTCCTACAGGAGGGGAGGGCCGTGCCCTCAGACAAGCCGGAAATGGGGGTCAAGAGATTCACTGTGAGAGAGAGTGAGGGGTAAACCCCGGATTCCATGGCCCCCTACCCCGCTAAGGCTTCCTACTGGAAGGCTCAGCCCTAGGGGGATGAGGTTAACAAACAGGTGGGCTGGTATTCCCGCCCCATCTCTCCCCACAACAGGGACTGCGGTGGCGATAACATCACAGGTGTTTCACATCCTTGCTCCCCCACTCCCTTCCCCTATCCTCATCCTCCTGCCCTCAAAGACAGGTGCAGTTGCGGGAAGTCAGGCCAGTGAGTCGTAGGCCACCTAAGGACACTGTTGCTACTACCTGGCCCCCCTTTCCTCACAAAGAGCTTCTGAAGACCAAGAGTGTGAACGGGACTTTCACTAGACGACAGGTTGGCTGGAACAGCACAGGCCACCGCGGCCCCTGCGTCGTGGTCCGCGAAGGAGCCTTGGCGACCGGCCTCTGGGCGTGGCAGCCATCCCCTCACAGGCCAGGAACGTGGACACAGTTCAGCCACCGCCTCTCCCCTGACTGTGGACCACGGCCCTGAGGACTGCCGGCCAGACTCTGGAGAAGGCGGCCCAGGCCCACTCCACTCCCCTGGGAGTGGCCGCCACGGCTGGCTCGCCTGCGCCCCATCTCACTCCCTCCTTTCCCACCTGCTCCCCAAGGGCCTCTGTTCTCAAACCTTTCACACCTGAGCCCGCCCTCTCTCCTCTGTCCCTTCATCTGCACCAGGTTCCCTCCTGGTCCAGCCCCGGCTCCTGGTCAAGGGAAAGGAAAACCTGACTCCGTGCCCCGTTCTGCCACCAACTAGCTCTTAACATCAAGCAAGTCGTGTCACTGTCTGGGCCTCAGTCTCCTCGGAAGCGCGGACTCACCTACAGGGCCCGCTCCCCCCCCCCCCCCCCGCAGCAGGAAATCAGGAGCCAGGATGCAGAAGAGGCCGGTGTAAGCGGGAAGCCCTTTTCCACCCAGAACTCTTCCTCCTCCTTCACCTGGACCCCTCTCGGCAGGAGACCCCGGCGCCGCGGACGGCGGTAATGACGCTCCGACGCTGCTCTGACGCTCGTTAGCAGGGGGCGTGGGAGGAGCGATCTCGGCCGCTGGGGCTTGACCCGCGCACCCAGGCTCAGCCCGCCTCTCACCGGCCCCGCCCGCTCTGCCCTGCCCTGCCGGCGCCTCCGTCCGGCGGGTCACAGCCCGTTCCGAGGGAGGAGAGCGAGCTCCAGGGGTTCCTGCCCCCCCCCCCGGGCCGGGCGGCTGCGCACGGCCGAGCAGGAAGCAATCTGGGGCGGAATGGGAGCGGTGCGGAGGCGACAACCCCCAGAGGACCCGTTCCCGCCGCCGCCTCCCTCCCAGCTCCGCCAGCCGGCTTAATTGCGGAGTCCGGATTGATTGGGAATGCAAATGGCAACTGAACTGCAATCTCCACTCCCAGCAGGAGCAGAGTGGGGGAGAGGGGAGGAACGGAATGGGGAGAAGACCGGGACAGGAGAGCGGGAAAGGG